CTCGTTTTGTATACATTTATGAAGTATATTATGCTATTAAGGAAAACTTACCTAAACAGTCAGTCGATGCATTCACACTTTTCAACAAGTGCTATATAAATATATATTTCTTCACATAAATTGTTCGTAAGCTGATTTACGTACGGTGACAAAAAGTGACATGTGTGTGTATGTTTTATTTATCTCATGCGGACGAGATACTATGTCGTGGACACGTGTTACTAAGTCGTGCGCATAAAATAATAAGTGGTGCGAAAGAGATACTATGTCGTATCCAAGAGTTACTAAGTCGTGGCCACGAATTACTAAATAAAATAAACCAGGGCTAATTTCTTCTCAAGTTATGGTATGGAAAAGGTTAACAGGTCATTAGTACGTACGAGTACATAAAGATCAATCCTATCACATGATGTTTCTAAAAAAGGGAAAAACTTAGAAGATATTAAAATGTGATTTATTGGTCTTGGATAATGACCTGTTCTTATGATACTTAATACATGTACAATGTTTAAAGTGGATATCTTAAGTAGTGTAGTGTAGTAGATTAACGTTGCATGTAAACTTTTAACCAGACTTTTTTTAAGGTTACAACCTTCATAATTATATAATTTTATCTGATTGGATAATTATCTTGTTTGCACAGCATAATTATCTCGTAAGTACAGCTTAGTAGCTCGTGGCCACTACATTTTATCTCGTGGGCACCACTTAATTATCTTTAACGCACAAAAAAGTAACCGATTGCCACGACAAAGTTTCTCGTGCGCACGACTTAGTATCTCGTGGCCACGACATAGTATTTCGTGAACACATGTCAACTCTTTCACATCTACATATATTCGTTAAACACGTTATAAACCTTACATTTAATTACTTCAGTCGAGACAAAGTCAGTTACTTTGATATAATCTGCATTAGATTGTTTCCGTAAATTAAGTTCACCAGAAAAAAGATAAATTTTACAAGTGACAGAATATCTAATAAACTGTCAGAATATTCAATGTCTAAATTATTTTTGAGATCTTTTTTCATCTGAACATAGCATATCATCGTATTACAAACCTCTCATTCATGAGTATCCTGGGCACAAGTGAAGTTTTGAGCAATATGTTTTGTATTTATAAATTCATGGTGTTTGTAAGGTAAATAGGGTTAGCGACGATAAGTGGCTAAGTCTATGGATATATATTACAGTTTGTAGCACTCTTATATTTCGAAATGCGTAACTCGTTGTTTCGTGTATGTTTGCGTGTGTGCGCACGTGCGCATGTGCGTTTGAGATTATTTATACTCGCCAGAGCCCCAATTTTAAATGCTTCTCCTGGTTCTTTAACGTGCCTAGTGTTTAAGCTCTCATACACGGGACCTCGATTTAAAGTCTAATCTAGACTGATTAGTAACTTTAATGGACCAGCCCGGGAATCGAACCCACAATGTCGAGATTACAAGTTCTGCGTTTTTTTCCACTAAAGTCTGACTTTTATTGTTTGCTCGTGGGTGTCCGTGATTATCTGCTATTAGCGCTATTCTCGGGAACGTCTGTCAAACAATTATACGTGTATGTTGGATCAACGGATTGTTAAACGGGTTGTTTTGTTTCACGGTTAAAAAGTTCTGTTTGTACATCGAATGTCTTTAATGAATGTTAAAACGGCGAAACATACATGTATTTCTTCAGCTACTTCTTGCAGAGAGTTCATTAGCAATTTTATGTCTTTAGACGTATCGTTTAATTTGCAGATGGATGCCTCAATATCTTTGCGCGGTACTGCATGTTGCTAGCATGGCTGATTACAATCTTGACAGTTTTTATCGCTCGCGAATGAATGACCTTACAGTCTAGCATGATTTAACTATGAATAGAAAAAAATGTACTCTAGACAAAATTTATTATCAAATTGTTTAACTGTTCCTACTTAAAGAAATATAAATCTAATGTTTTTTTTTAAGTATCGGTAAATCTTAAAGGGACTCCACTGAGGTTAAAAAGCCTAAAAACATAACATTTTAATTGATTACATATACATATGTATGAGGCTAGGGCACTTTAAACAGAAATATATGCAAAGAAAGTTAAAAATTATACTTTGAAATAAATTCAAAATGGTTTGTTTATACTTTATACGGTATCTCCTCGGTATAGCTCGATTTGAGTGAAAAGCGTTCAAACGCTTTTTATTTTGTGTCATTTTTTACAATTTGAATAATTATTCTGGAAAGACAAAGTGCGCAAATGATCTAAAATTTTGCACAAACATTAGTGATCTAAACCTAAATCAAATGGTACATTTTCTAAAAGCATATTTTCAGTCCCATCATGTCAAAAACCCTCAGTGGAGTCCGTTTAACAATTATTGATCTTACTAACAATGTGGTATAAAAAAATTATCATTTTAGAAAATCTAAAAAAAAATATTAATAGAAAATATGTCTACTTATCTGTGGTTCTTTTTTCATTTAATGTTTGTATAAGCTGCTATTTTATCTCATAGCGACTGAGTAAATAATATTTTTTTTTTTAAATAGAACTTCAGAGTGCCGTAAAATCTAATCTAGACATATACGCATAAATACATAACCCCTGCAATAAGTATTTCTTAAAGGTCCAAAATGCATCAGTCATGCTACCATTTTTATTTAAAAAAGAATGTTTAGTTTTTGGTATCTTGTTACAGTTTTTTTTATAGTTAAACTCATTTTCCATATATCTAGGCTTTCTGCAACTGTGTGTATATCTTTTTGTTACATTTCTCTTCCTTCAACACTCAATAATTGAAATATTCTTCTGTTGGTAGATAGAGGGAATAACTACCTTAATGACAATTACTGCACGGTCAGCGAAGTATTTGTATAATTATGTGTGTAATAAAAGTATTAACACTACGGTGTAGCTCATATAATGGGCTAACGAAACGTAATATACAATCTGGAACGAATTTAGCGGGCTTTATTGCTATCTCGCCGTCATGGAAGAATTGATGTCAGAAGTACAATTAATACATTTGAAAGTATGTGAAAGAGTGTTTTTGTTTTTTTAATCAAAAGGATTGCACTTAAAGTGAGCAAAAGGTTATGCTTCTATCAGATGCAAATTAAAGGTATTTATTTCATTTTTTTTTCAGTTTAAAAGCAAAAATATGTATCATTGTCATGTAGTGATTGTTTATATTTTATTTTTATAATATTTGAAATAAATTCAGAAAATAACGTGAAAATCTTTACGGTAGATAACATGACTTCTTATGCAATATATTGTTCCATATACATGTACATTGCACATCACTTCTTCGTCAATTATTGTTTATATTGACACCCAAATAGACAAAGAAGGTTACTTTCTTTTAAAGCAGAAATCGGCATTTCTTTTTAAAGAACATGATTAATTAACATTTTCTTTATCTTTGCACATTGTAAGAAAATCAATATAATACCTTTAGATACAAAAAAATGATAAATACTTACGGATGAAATAATTCTAACGACATTATTAGAACATTTAGAATAAAATTATCTAAATACGTTTTCTTTTGTATCTTTAAGAGGACATGTGAAGAAAATAATAAGTCAGTACTCTGAAACTCGTATCTTTATATGCTTTGTTGAAATTAATGCAAATTGCAGACACGTGTAAAATAATTCACAGGCGGTCGAGAACTTCGACTGGGCGTGAGTTCACCCTTATCTCATCTATAATGGATCTTACTAGTTTATCAGCTAGACAGATTCAAGCTATTGATTATAAATAGGCGGTGCTATTTTCTTACTGTTTTAATTTTATTACACCTTTATATTATGCTATTACAGAGGGTTACAGGATTTGTTCATTTTATCGAAGAAATGATAGATTAAAAATAATTTAAGCAAAGGCAAGTATACAGTAAAGTGAGGAGAAGATATGTATTTTATTATATGAATGGAAAAAAGCTATGACAAGTTTCTTATGAGAGTTACTTTCTTCTATTAATCTTATTTACATTTACATGTTACGCTTTACCTGAACACATATATACAGAATCTGAGACAAGAGGGCTTTTATAATTACAAACTGCATCTTTATTTCATTTTGATGCTTGTAATCAATAAAATAAATGATAAAGGTAAAACTAAGTTGTATTATAAAACAATTTAACGTTGTTTCAATATTTGTTTTCAGATATGTGAAAAATAAAACAACACAAAACAACACATGTGATAGACGAAATCAACTAGATATCACACAGTACCTGGATTTTAGGATATGAACGATTATTTTATTGATTGTCTGACAAACTTCATTACATCACACTTTGCTTATTTATTTTTGTTGTTTTATTTTTAGCAATTAACAAACATATATTGAACAATAGTTACACATGTATCGTACAATAAGTACGAATTCAAAATAAAAAGATAAGTGACGACCAAATTTTCATTTGTTTTTTAAAAACGCTGAAAAAGAAGATATTAGATGATTTAATAGGTGATGTTTCAGTACTTTTCAATAAATACAGATTTGTTTTTTATCGATTGAAACTAGTATGAAAATAGAAATTTCGCGACTAGTGATATATCAGAACTTTCATGCCACAATGTGAAATTTAATCCTGTATTTATAGAAAAAAAACTAGAATTTTCTGTTTATTGCGTACATTTTTCTTTTGTTCGGCATTAACATTTGAAAGACTACCCTATAATTATGTGATTTGGCTGACTTTGAAAGAATGTAATCCGGCAAGACACTAGTGACAATATGGAAATAATTTCACTGTTACAGTAGTGAAAAATAAATTAAACGGAACCACTCATGTTTATGTAATAAATATTTCTCAATATTTTAGAATTTATATTAAGGATATTCAAGAATATAATGAAAAGAGGATATGAAGTTTTATCTATAATTACGTGTTTTATTTCATCAAGTGATACTGAAATAAATATTTCACCAATTGTTGTAGACACATGTAAGATATAATAATTTGATAATAATCCAGTAATTTTGGAAAAAAATAATGTTATATAGTTTCTCTGTTTTAAAATGATTACCGCGATTACATTTATTTCTTTTATTTATTTTAATATGTATATTGACGAAAGTGGTTACGGCACCAGTGATAAGTACGTAACATATGTTACATTGCAGTAAAAGTAAACTAATACATAGAAAAATACGGAAAATGAAAAAAAACAAACATTTCATTTAATAGATTCTTCTGAATATTTTTTTTTCGAAAGTGTATAGTAAAACATATGCTTAACACTACATTAATACTTTAGAATTAAGTTCAACATATGCTTATCGATTTTTTAAAAGTTTTCTATTTTACTTAAATAATCAAACGTGCACGGTTAGTTATGTGATAAACATATTCATGTCTTTCACAGTAAGATGAATAATTTACAGATAAATGTAATATGTTATATAGCCCATTATTTTTTTTATTGTATACAAATTAATATTGGATGTATTTTTTCTCTCTCTACAATATATTCTCCAATAAAAGTATTAAAACACGAATCTAAAAATGATCAGATAGTTGTGTTATTTTTAACCCTACTATTTCATATTTAAAAGAAAATATTGAACGTCTACAATTAAAAGATTTGTAATCCGCGTACATGACTGTAATACTGACCGATTTAAAAGTAAGAGAATTCATCAAATAACTGCGAACAACCATTTCCAACATTATCCTTAGAAGATAAACCCATTTAAAATGATAGTCATATAACCGACGAACGGACAGGTACAATGCGTTTCGTCTGAGGTTTAAAAGATAGGGGAATTATTCCCCTATGTTCTATCTCTACTATATATCTCTCTCTGCATGTAAATTTGTTGCTGAAAAAGCGCCTGCAGGTCGACCCCCGGAAAAAGGACATCTGGAATTTCCTTTTTTTTATTCTGGAACGCATTAATATATAAAATAACAATTTTGACATAGCAAAAAAGGTTTTTTTACTCGTCGATTATTCCAAGCATATTAAAGAAGTATAGTATCCGACACAATCAATTTCGAATACGTATACGTCAAAGAGAAATGTTGGACAAATGTTGTCAAAACGAATGTTCGAATATATTCGAATATAGACAAAGAATATTCGAACATCAAAATTCTTATTCGTTCCCAGTCCTAATTAACTTATTATAAATTGAAAATTGAAATGGGATGAAGGTCATTTAAGTGTTAATCCATTTGTGATGTACTCTGTTTGGTATTTGGAGACATAATGAAAATCAAAAGAAAAGCAGAATATCAGAACTTATGACCATTATGTAGACCTAGCATTTTAATAAACAGATTGTCTTGCTTTATACATTTTTTAAATAGAATGTTGACTTGGTGTATATCCTTTAAATTATCGACATGGTTTTTGTACTAAAATAATGATAGAAGTTAACTTCTCAAAGTCAAAAGATAGAAATTGGTCAGAATAATATTCAAGATATCGGTAGAACGTCCTCAGGTATAATCAACAATTAGTACCCTGAGGGATTCAGTAGCGATCAGCAAAGTACGACATTTATAAGCTGTTCTGTGAAGAATGTATATATTTTCATATTAATCATATTACCATATTTATGTATACACATTTTTGTCCCATTCGTGCTTAAAAACCTAACGGAATAAATGGAATGTCATGAATTTTCACGCGAACTTAAATACAGTGTTTGTCAACACTTTTCATTTTTCATAAGATTTAAAATCATTAGTATATATATGTTACATTCTTTTTGGAAATTTTGTTTTTTATGAAGTCAGAAAACACATATTAAGTCTTTATGGTAAAGCAATTCATTTGATTTCAGATTAATTGTGTTTAACTAAGATGGTTTGGATAATGCTGCATGATTTCTTGTAAGCATTTTCACAAATAGTTATTACACGAAGGAAGCAAGAAAATTCATGATAAAAATCATATAAATGATAATGATAATGCCGCTCGTAAATATATAAACCACAACGATGAAAACGGCGAGCACGGTGATGATAATAAATATGGTGTTGCTTGTTTACGATTATAATTAAGGCAAAATCGATAAAATGACAAGGATGATGACGATTATCTATATGATGAACATGCATTTAATAGATAATAGATATTTTTATGAAGGTTCTGTAAGCTGTCTATAAATAAGTCAAAAGTATATGCATGCTACTTGATATATAAATCTATTTATAAAAAATACAAGTAACTTGAATGACTTAACAGGCCAGTAATTTTTGAAAATCATGTCAATGAAATGATAAAAATGGTCTCTTATCACAAGTATAATACAACATTTTGTCATGTGGAAATAGCGTTCAAGAATGTGATCAACCATTACAACTTTATGCGCAATTTCCATTGAATTCCAAATCTTTTTCAGTAATATTTCTATTACAACGTTCACAGTATGTACCGTCGAGCTCACCATCAACATTTGATGGCTTCCCAATTATGTCATGCAGTGAAGGAATATTAGCAAACTGTTGATAAACAAACGTTTTCATTAATAAGATTTCCACCTCGGTTATGTTGTACATTTCGCAAGCGGGATATGAATAGCTATGCGGATCGTGGTGGGGTATATATGATATTTTTGGCGACAAACGTCTCCTCCAATCAGCAGACATTTGCCTTCCACAACACAACCTTATGATATCCCAATACCGTAAATATTCAACGGCATGTTGCATTTGTGTATCTGAAAGTCTAAAAAATGGTTGATAATCAAAGACAATCGTATGACCACGTTTAGATGTAGTTTCTATGTCAATGATCGATGGTATCTTTATTCTCTTATTTCTAATTTTTACTTTATGAGACTCCAGTTCTGTTTTCTTTTCATCAGAAAGTAGATTGCTAGATGTCATGAATATCCACACATCTGATGGAAGTATCTGAAAAAATGTGTCTTTTATAAAATGCATTTTTATGACACAGTATTTGTGTGCAGGTTGTCTACCGTAGTAGCATCCAACATCATTAATTTCGTCTTGATGTAATAAAGCCATAAGAACACATAGTATTTGAAATTGAAGTGTTGTAGCTGTTCCACCCAATCCAAACTGTACTATAGTAGTTGGAACTCTTTCCTCTGTTCTTTGAAAAGCCTGTAGTTAAAGAGATGATGCATGATTTATTTAATAAAATTCATGTTTAGTTGCTGAATAAAAGCGTTCACTGTTGTATATTACGTTTTTAATATTGAGATTGATAAATGTAATATTGAGAATTTATGTAATATTCAATGTCGCGACGAAATAAACCTTTACTTCCAAGACAAACTCAGGAAAAAAATGAAAAAGTATCTTTAAATATACAATCGATTCGAACATTTTATAATTTTACATCTGGTAGTAACCGCTTAGCAAATATATTTTCTTTCATTGATAAGACGAGAAAGCTCGTAAACGTGTAAATTTCAAAAATAAGTCCCTTGCAAAATGTATAACCTCAAAAGCTCTAAAAATGCATTTTATTCTACATGTACTTCCGTTTTGCAGATAAAAAAATACTTAAAACTCTTTTAAATATTAACAGAATTTGATCCAGAAATAGTCGTTGACACAGAATTTTCTTACTTTAAATGAAACTTCTTCACACAATGATGCTTCATATATTTAATGGCCACATCTAATTATTTCATCGGATTAAATAAATGTGCAAATCTTTGAATACATACATATTCACACACCTGGAAATATGTGAAAGCACTCGCTTACACTTTCTAGCAGTTAAAGTATTTTGACAATTATGTTTAGCTGTTGTCTGGAATGGTATTCCGTATTTTAGCCTTGGTACATATAAGCAACACCGTTACACAGAGACGTAGGTCCCAATTTAAAAATACACATGCTTTTGAGAATAGCTTTTTGATTATATCACATTATTGGGTGCGTATTATCCATATTTCTACACCGTCATCTCAATCTTAGTTATTATTAACCTTTTCCCTTATATAAACGTGTTTCGACGGCTTTTTGCCCCCCCCCCTTTGAGGCCTCAAACAGTGAAAAAAATGCTCTATTTAGGCCCCAAACACTGTTTTTCGTTTGAGAAAGGTCACTTTTTTGGCGCCGTCCCCCATCCATAGGGTAACTAGTAACCGACGCTGAAAAGCCTTTTACTCTATCTCAATTCATTGAGAAGTTGCAGCACTTTGAAATCAGTTTTGATGGAAAAAAACAATGCAAAATAGTGATTTTGGGCAATTTGGAGACGTCCCCCCCCCGTTGCCATGGTAACAGGAAATTTACCATTGAGCATGCTGTTACAGAGGCTGGTGTAGTCAACATTTGTGCCAAGTTTCATTAGTATTGAAGCATTTTTCATAGTTTCATAGCAGTTTGAACTTGTTACAAGAGGCTTTTCAATGGAAACGGCCATTGTTCGCAATATGCTCATGGGGTAAAAGGTTAAACAGTTAAATTTATAATTGAGTATTGGAAAATGTAAGAATGGTTAAATAAAGAAAAAAAGGATCCTTTAAGAGTCCCTAGTCGAAGTTTATCAGACGTGAAACGTGGCAGATTATTGGCATGCATTCGACAGGTTGTTTTTCATTGTTATAGGCCGTTAGATAGACCGCAATTATTCTGTAATAAGCAGAAACATCAAAAAGCATATTGCGACGAATGATTGCAAGGACTTGCAAAGGTCCTCTTATAAGTACGGTTGGTCAGGCGGCGGAAACCGTTTTCTACGAGTAATCGCCTAAAGCCTTTATGGCTGCCACATAATCGAATTTGACTTACAACTCGAAATCGACTGGGCTGATCTCCCGAAGAGTGATAAAGCGTCCATGGTTGTTACATGCGAACCAAAGAACTAGTTTGCAGTGGTAGTTAGTGAGAAGAGGTTAGATTCATGGAGGCTAGTCCACTGGTTTGACGGGAGCGGGTTTTCGCTGCATTAACAGACGGAAAAAATTGTCTGGCGACACAGGTAAACTGCATATACACCAAAGAATATCAAACCGAGCATTCCGTGTAGTGGAGGCTCTGTGATAGTTTATTGCATATCCTATCATGGCTTAATGGACTGACGATACAGAGGAGGCTTAAATGCCGACAGTACATTGATAGCGTCCTTGAGACAGTCTTTGAGCCTCATGTCGACAACTGTTTTCATGGATGAGGATCCTGGAACATGTTTTGGACGTTCTTAAACGTCAAATACAACAAATAGCTCCACCTTTTAGAATTAGAAGCAGCTATTCATCGAGAGTGGCGTTAGATAATCATGCAGCAAATTCGACGTCAAACTGGTGGAATGAGATTTAGGATGAAGGTAGTGATCCGTGTACGAGGAGAGCAATATCAAAATGTTATGGCACTTCATTTGCAAAGACACGTTTATGAACAGTTATACAAATAAACTGTTACATAATTCGTGCAGACGGAAGCAGTAGCTTCATACTAAAAAAACGTTTAATTTACGTTGAAAACACACGTCCAGTTTATGATACATTAAAATAGATTTTTTGTTATATTTGAATTAAAGATGTCATAGAAAGGGTACAAACTTTAACAATTGCGATACAACCGGGACTGGAATTTCAATATAATGGAACACAATAACACATTAAGGAGAAATGGCGTAACACTGATCTAGTTGCAACGACAATAGAAAAGACGGCCATTCCTAATACAATCTGGGTCCAAGTGTTACCTTATTAAAATGTACTTTTCGATGTTCCACGCCAATATCGCTTACAAATGGTCTTCAAAACATATCAGCATTATGCATGCCATTCAGGTAACTTTTTGCTGACATTGAGAAAGATTCCATCCTTAATAATACATATGTACACAACTACAAAAAATGGCTGCCGCTTACATTTAACAAAGCCAGGTCTAATATGAATTATCCTACAAGAATTGTTTGTTTTTATTATTAAAACAAGCGATCATTCATATTTTTTTCAATAAAATGAATAATATCGCCGTCATTTAACGTTGATTATCGAACTTATTTTTCAGCACAAGACTTCCTTGTATTTAATGAGAAATTCCGACTAAATGGGGCTCTCAATGGGGAAAACAAATTTTAATACTGACGTTTATATTATGGAAATTTCGTTTTAACTTGTTTTAAGCATAAAATAAAAAGAAAATTTGTTTGTTGTGTAAGATGTAATTTTATTTTATCTCGTGGGAATACTATTTTAAAGCCCACTCGATGAAATAAAATTTCATCTTACACACAAACAAACAAATTTCCTCTATGTCTTCAATTATAAATAAATGTTACTATTTTAATTGCCAATAAGCAACAGAAACAAAGGAAGCAAATGCTTTTTAGTTTATGGCAAATAAGCATCTTATTTAGAACTATAACAGGACATCAACTTATCTAAAGTTTTTTGTTTTTTTTCTTTTCAATTTAGAAAGTAAAAACATGTTTGGAGTATGATTGGTCTTCAAAATGTAACGTTTGAACCTTGCATATACATTTATTAAAATAACGTATATCTAAAACAAAACAACATGCCTGAACATAAAGCATAAGTTATACTCTAAAATAACAATAACACATAAAAGAATATCTAAAACATTCTTACCGTACGATGATAACGAGTTGTTAAGGCAAGGAATATGATAATACAAACTTGCGAAAGTAATAACAAAGTCGATTTTCCGTAAATGTTAGCCATTTGTATACCTGAAATGTTCGAAAAAGGTTTTATCTTTTCGAGTCACACAAATTTTAAAATATTTTGATCAAATTAGCGTAACATGTTTTAATTTGCCAGTTATGATGGCCTAACGATTTATAGCCGTCTTTTCGAATTTATGTTATTTATCATTGAAAACAAGCTTTCAAGTTGTCGGAATTGATTCATACAACAGTGTCTAAAAAGTATAACTTTTCACTGCATATAGTTAAACTTGAAACATCTATACACATTTAAACATCTCATAATATTTTGGTAATAAAACACATTTTAAACAGAACAATTAAAGTTGATTTGCTTGTAAATAGTAGTTTGGAGAATCGTAATGTTTAATCAGTGCAACAATTTATTAAGCATCTGTATAAAATGCCATGCAAGACAGATTTTAGCAGTAGTAAAAGTAACAGTGATTTTCGTTTAGGCTATTTTTCCCATTCTAAATTTTCATTTGATGCTTCTTTAAATAAAACATTATTTTTTCAATGTTTATTTTCTTTGAAAACAGAAATGTTTTATAATGATATGTAAAACTTGTTTATGCACGAATGTACATGTATATAGAGTTTGGTACCTAGACAATGAAACCTTAAGATATGAAGACAATAAACATTTTAGCCATACTGTTTTAACTTTGCTTTATTGGGAATATGTGAAATTAGTGATGATTTGAAAGTGTTTACATACAATAATTCTGCAGACCAAAGCCCAAGCAATACAAAAGCTGGATTGTTGTAGTAAGGACTCGTTGATATATTTAATATATCCTTTTTATGTTGATATTCCGAAAAGTTTGGTTTTATAAATGATATCAATGTTGACCACGCAAGATGCCAAAAATAGCACAATCAATAGTTTTGGTACTGTGGACGTTGAAACTTGAAAATTTTGTTCTAATTTGGTCCTTGTTTGTAAAAGAGGTTTTATTCAGACAATATTTGTTTTACTGGAAGGAAATATTGTAATAACAAAGATATGTATAATTGGGAAAACAGAAAGTTAAGTGCTACAGATATAATCAAATGCACTCCAGAACCGACGGGAAGATATTTGATACGAGGATCACACAAAGTAATAATAATTTAAAAATAATCATATAACTAGCGTGGACTATACGATCATAGTTAAAGTTGTTGTTTTCATAATGCTGTCAAATTAAGTAATATTTTAACCAGTTTTTGTGAAACCTTGAATCACTGGAAATAAAGTTTTCGTGATACATATCTGTAATATATATAATTTATTATTCGCTTATAAATACCATAAAAATGTATGCTTCTATTGCAATGTATTCGAATAGCTTTTCGGACAAACGATTTCTTAAATACAACACAAACAAATCATACCTTACATTAATGTCCGTACATGATTGTGCAGATAAGGGATCCTGGTAAAGCATTTGACTACCTACTAGTATGCATTTAGTTCTTACAGGTTTCAGCAGTTCACACAAGGCGAGTAATCAATGTTAGAAAATGAATATATACATTTGCATGATAATTGACAAATAAAAAATTGTACGGATTGAGTAGGAAAGTTGGAAAGCTTTTTTAGAAACTCTCTCCGTAAGAAACATATCTATAAATAGTTGTGTAGGTGTAGGTATAAGTTCTTGGTAAAAAATGAAATATGTTTAGCCTTAATGTCTTTGAAAAATGTAGGTGTGTAATAAGGTGTTTGTAAATACAATGTATATGACTGAAGTATAATTTATGTTTATGTGTATCACAGATGTTTATGTATCATTAACTTATGTACAAGTCTAATATTATGTATGTCGTGTTTTGTTTTAGCAGAATAAAGTCTTGCATTTACAACATGAAAAATCTTGTTGTAAATAGATAAGTAATTTATCGTAAAATTGCTGCTAATATAATCATTTGATTATCCGTCTCAAACAGACAGATGGACGGACATATATGATTTATTAAATTCACGCTTTTGCATATTGATATTACCGGTACGAAATATAATTGAAATAAATGTATAACATAAATGTATATTTCAGAGCATTAAATACAGGTATTTGACACCGCAGTATGATATGTATCATTATCGCATGGTATCGAACTTTTTCTTTGTTCTTACTAACCTATTATACTCAGTACACTTCAATGAAAATTTTAAAACTGTACATAGCAGTGCAGTTTTATACATTGATTCATATATGGAAAAACTCAATTAATTTAATATAACAGTTGAGTCTTTTTCGCACCTTGTTTATATTAGTGTAGTTTTTTTCAGAGGCTCCAATCGGACAGGGTAACACACATTCTTAGTTACCAAAAAAAATAAATATAAATAACTTAATTAATAGATAAATAAATAAATAATAATAAATATCTAACTTAATAAAATAAACAATATAAACAATGATAATTAATAAAATGAAATTTATTGTCATATAATCACAAGATTCAATCGCTGACTGAATAATTTTCACTGAAAAAAAAAACCTTTTAAGGTTACAGTTTACAATCCGTCTCTATCAGTGGATTGCGATAAACAGTTAAACTATATGAAACTCGTTTGTTACGGGGATATAACACTGGCTGGGCGACATCTCGGGATGTTTCTTCAAACAATTGTCTCGGCCTAACGGCCTAGCCATTTCTTTAGCTTAGAAGAAACATCTCTTGATGTCGCCCCAGCCTGTGGTTTATCCTCGTTACCAACTCGTTTCATATACTATAACCTTTTCTTATATTTTTTTCACTCTATAACACACTTACATCATGATAGCTATATGTATGTATTATGTATTGCCATCATGGGCAATATAGGATAAAAGAAATAAAACTCTTATTTTCTATGAAAAAAGAAAAGAAAAAAAGAAACAATATAAAACAGAACTGAGGGGCGTGGGTTCAAACCCAAGAAGGGGCAACTTTTGTTTCTTTTTTTTTTTATTTTTTAACATTTATTATATATCTCTCAGATCGCTTATGGATGAAAAAAGTGTTTAATTTTAATTATATAATTATAATAGGTATTTATTTGCTACAAAATGCCAAATGTAATGGCAGATATGACACCAGATATTTTCAAAGTTTAATAAAATAAAAACTTCACGGTAAAAGTATTTTATATTTTGCAAGACCAACCAATATACATTTAAAAAAAATATGCAAACTTTGAACACAGCCCCCACCCCTATTTTGATAAACTTCATGGATATTTCGAATAAGGCTTTTTACATGGGGAAATGGTCAAATAAGTGTTTAAAGTGGATGGGGTAAGGTCTCATTTTTATACATATTTAAAACATTTTGTTTAGAAACACTCATTTTGCTCGTTTAATTTGTTAATTGAATGTCATTGAATGTTTCTTAACAATGAGCAATAGGAAAACAGGTTCCATAATGATGATATTATAGCTTAATTAGAGTTTCCTCAGTTCTAAAAAAAACCTTTCTAATGGCAAAGTTTTAGTTCAGAAAAATGTCCATAACTAATAAACCACACAGTAAATTTTGTTTAAATTTTGCAAACAGGTGACATTTAAGGCATTCAACAGTCCTTTCTGTCAATTATTGTACCTTATGTTTCCATTAGGGGTGTGCTACCTTAATATTGGAGATGACCAATCAGACATGACAAAATATGATAAACAGGATCGACAAGGAAAGGCAGCGTTCAATGAACGCAGCCCCCACCCGACCCAGCAACAAGCGCCAGCGGCAAAGAGCCAAGGAGGACCCCAAAGAAAAATAGGACAGGGCATAAGGCAGAGCACGGGCAGGCAAACCACTACATAAGAATAAATAATTAGTAACTGATAAGGAACTAAAAGAAAACAAATAAATGATTTAATATTAGGCCCATAAAGTCAAAAGGCACAGGGGAAGTTACAAGTTGTACACATTATACAGGAGGTATTACCTGACTGCACTATTAGCACAATAAGTGATAAAATAGATAAATACAGAATCCATAAAGAAAGTCCAACACGGCAAAATTGAAAATGTTGCAGGCTCGGTTTGATTGATAAAACCAATCATGGCAAAAGGGATTATGAGGTGTCTTAGGAGAAAATACATAAATTAGGTTTCCATCGTAAAATTGAAGTACAGGAAGGAATTCAATAAATGCTTAAAGTGTTTCTGTTTTTATCATACTTAGCATTTAAGGACATATATTGCGGTCTTATTCTTCCCCTGTGCCTTTGACTTTATGGGCCTTATATTCAATCATTTATTTTTTTCTTTAAATTCCTTATCAGTAACTCTTTATTTATTCTTAGGTAGTGGTTTGCCTGCCCGTGCTCTGCCTTGTGTCCTTTCCTGTTTTTGTTTAGGGTCCTCCTGGGCTCCTTGCCGGTGGCTCTTGTTTCTGGGTTGGGTTGGGGCTGCGTTTATTGAACGCCGCCCTTCCTTGATGATCTTGTTTATCATATTTTTTGAAGAATATTTTATCTTATATCAAAGGAATATATTGTTAAATATATATATCATTCAACTTTTGATTACATTGTGAATATGTGTGCCTTATATAAAAAATAGTAAGAAACAATTTTCTTAAAGGTTCTTTTAAAGAAGACAATATATTAAACTTTTGACATCTCTTTTACTGTGCCAGCTAGATTACTGTGAAGTGTGAATGAACAAATGAAAAAAATTGACTGTAAAAAACATTCGAACATTTGGGTATTTGCCAGTTCTAGATCTGTTTTAGTCATACAAAACAATACAAGTCTGTTTGTTGAGAATAATGACATTTTTACTGACCTTCAATTTGGTTTTCGAAAAAAACGAAGTACTATTGATTGCATTTTTGTTTTACAGTCGTTAATTAAGAGGATTACTCTGCAAGAAAGAAAGAAAATGTACTGTGCATTTGTCGATGTTAAAGAGGATTTTGACCTTGTTTATAGAATTGGTATCTGGTATTAACTGTTAAGTTCTGATTTATCATCTATGTTAATAAACATGTAAAAAAGTATGTACAATAATGTTAAGATATGTGTCCGTTCCAATGGTACATTGACTGATTATTTTGATAGTTACAACGGAGTTAAGCAGGGTGAGACGCTA